AGATTATTATTCTCTCCTTAAAAGACGAATGATTGAGCGTCTAATATCATCATTTCTAAACTTCAATATTTTTCTTTTCATTTTTTATGTGAACTTACACTAGGAGTGTAGGACGCATGAAATCGAACAGTAAAATGATCGTTTTGATATCATTTGTGGATCATTATTCTCTTCTTAAAAGATATATCTAATAGTATATATAAAAAATCATTTCAGGATTTTTTTCTTTTTAAAGTGAAATTAATGTTTTCATTCTTTTCTTCAAGAAGTGATTTAATTATACAAATTTTTTTAAAATCATACACATAATTAAAAGTATGTAAATAATATTTGAAATCATATACATAATTAGTGGTTTAATAGTTTTTTGTGATATTATTTGAATTATTTATTTAAATTTTCTTTAAAATCATCTAGTTTAAATTGTATTTCGATTATTTTTTTATGTTAAATGTTTTTCTATTAAATAATCGTTTACTAACAATTTGTTAAAAAAATATAAATGTAAAGGACTTGTATAATTACTCACCTTTACAACTTCAAAAGTTAAATTTTTAAAAATTATAAAGGTAACGATTAAATTATTTTGCCTAAATGTGATCAGAAGTCAGTCTTATAAACCACTGTCTCTACTAATATTGCTCAAGTAGATTGGCGGAGTAAAAACCAAAACATATTCAGGTGATTTATTGGTTTCCGTTGGCACCATTATTCACTGCATCTGATTTAAAGGGAATATTCCTCCACCGAGCCTCCACCCCACTCGACCCGGGAAACATTCACTAGGTTTACTCGTTCCGTTTCAGCACTCTTTGTAGTTAACTGTTTGATAAATTGTCCCCAATAAACTTTCTACCAGTTTAATCCATCGTTTACGGAATACAATTTTCCTTCTTTATTTTAATGATCTGATAGTTGGGGAAAGAAAAAGAAATGTTGGAATGAGATTGAAGTATTTCCTCTGATACTGTCGTTTCTGCTTGAACAGAGACTCTAGGCTGCTCTGCTCCTACCAAAATGATAAATACATTGGTTTTGCCTAGGCCTATCGAAGTACGTATAAATCTTCATTTTTTTTTTTGCAGTTTTTAATTAGTTTTCAGTGGAATAAAGCTATGTTTGTCAGAATCGGATTCTGTTCTAACCATCATACTTCTTCCCACCACTGTTCTTTGATGTTTGCCCATTGATTGTTTCCATGGTTTTGATTTGCGTTTGTACTTTGTACTTTGTTTAACTGTTTATTTTGGTATAGGCGTTGAAGTTATCCTCTACAAAATTTGACTTATCAAGAAAATCAAAGTACAGCAGACCGAGGATGGAGCTAACCCTGACTCAACCTGATGATTGGCATCTTCATCTCCGTGATGGTGGCCTTCTTCAAGCTGTCGCCCCTCACAGGTTGTTTACTTTTAATGACAACGTTTTCTAATAGTTGGCTTTTGGGGTACTCGATTTTTGGTAATTAGGCAAGTGGCCTAAATCACTTTTGCAATTCAGTTAAACTGATATTTTGGTTAATGTCTTAAATTTAGTTCGTTATTGTTTCCACATTATCTATTAAGACCTGTTCCAGTTCGTATTCAATCTAATTTAATTTGAAATATTCTATGTATTCGATACTGCTCCAAACTATCCTCGGATTGCATTTTCACATCTTTATATATCTCTATATACCTGGTTTTATGCTGAAGGATCTACTTATTAATATTTGGGGTTTTGAGCTTACCGACTGAATTGATAGACACATTTGATTTTATCGGTTAAGTAGTTATCATCCTTTATCAGTTAAGCCGTTTTTGTTCCAAAACTTAACTGTTTGATTAATTCTCTTTTAACAAGCTTTGAGCAAATTAACCAAAGCAATCATTTGCTCACCCCTTGTTCACTTGAATTACTTCTTCAATTTATGGGGAAATTATCAGTTGATTACATCCTGAATGATTGTGATTTTCTTCACCCGTCTAATTAGTATTCTTACTGCAGTGCAAAGCACTTTGGAAGGGCAATAATAATGCCAAATTTGAAGCCTCCTATTACCACCACCACTGCTGCTATTGCTTATCGAGAATCAATCTTGAAAGCATTGCCTGCTGATGGCAACTTCACTCCACTAATGACACTATATTTAACAGATAAAACCAGTCCCAATGAGATCAAGCTTGCTAGTAAGTCAATCTCTTATTTATTATGGTATCTAGGATTATTCTTATTTGTTTCACATGTGGAAAATGTCTACCAAAGTCCAATCTCTCTTTCTTTTCCGTGCCATGCTTTTCCACTTCAAGTCGTTTTTAATTTAGTCCATTCTTTTATAATTGTAGAGAAACTACAATTAAACAAGTGACTCCTATTTGTTATTTGGCCCCATTTTTTCTGACTTGAGTCTTGCAGTTTTGCTGACGATTGGGTCTAATGTGTTGACAGGAAGGAGTGGAGTTGTCTTTGCTGTAAAGTTGTACCCTGCTGGTGCTACCACAAATTCTCAAGATGGTGTTACAGATCTGTTTGGGAAATGTATTCCAGTTCTTGAAGAGATGGTTGAGGAAAACATGCCGTTACTGGTAATTTGAACTATACTAAGTTCACAATTATTTTTTGGTTAAATACAATGCTCTTATACACTGGCAATGTGGTTTCTTAGATAACATAAGAAATTCAAATGCAGCCTATACAACCTTGTCAATATTTGAAGACACTGCTTTTTCTTTTTCTTTTTTTGCTTAGAACTTGTATAATTATTAATCTGATCAATTTGTATAGGTTCATGGAGAGGTCACAGATCCTAATGTTGATGTTTTTGATCGGGAGAAAGTGTTCATTAACACTGTTTTGCAACCTTTAATTCAAAGGCTTCCAAGACTAAAGATTGTGATGGAGCATATCACCACTATGGATGCTGTTAGATTTGTAGAGTCCGGTAAAGAAGGTAAACTTAATTGCTTTTAGGGGAAAAATTTGACAATTACTTTTGTTTCTTGTTTTCTGGTAGTACTTGTCCTTTTAGTTTTAGATTTCTTCATTGTTTCTCATTTAGCTCACAAGTTTTTGTTTTCCGCTTTAGGATTTTTGGCTGCAACTGTTACACCGCAACATCTTATTCTCAATAGAAATGCTCTCTTCCAAGGAGGACTGCAGCCTCATAATTATTGCCTTCCTGTACTTAAAAGAGAAACCCACAGTATGTTCCACTCAACATTTTCCTTGATGCTGGAAATAAGAATTGCCATCTATATGTAGATCGTTGAACTTACTTCATTTACAAGTTGGAATTAGCATACTAATCATTGCTTTTGTTAAAAACATGGTGTACTTAAGATATACGAGCGTTCTTTTGTTTCTTATGGTTTTAAAACTTATAGTCAGATGAATTCAACAGCATTTCTTAAAATAATTGTGTCTTAACAGACTTTTGTGTGTGCTTGTCATACCCCAGGACAGGCTATTGTTTCAGCTGTGACTAGTGGAAGCAAAAGATTTTTCCTGGGAACTGACAGTGCTCCCCATGAGAGACAAAGAAAAGAATGTCCTTGTGGTTGTGCTGGCATTTACAATGCCCCTGTTGCGTTATCGCTGTACGCCAAGGTCTTTGAAGAGGTAATTTTCTTCCTTGTTAATTATAAGATTCTTGTTTTTCTCATGAATGCTGCTACAGAGTTTGAATCAGAGGTAAGCCATTTTAACGGGGTTAAGGAAAGGTTAGTTAGGGATTCCGAATTTGTATATTTACTGCTCTAAATAGGAACATGTACATCTATAGCTAGTTCATAAACCTGTGAAAGATACCGTGTCTCTTGTATTTGTGCATTAGTAGAGGGATATGACCCTTCAAGGACTATCATAATATATGGAAAATTGAACCCACAGAGTGGCCTCATTGGTAAAATTGAGTGTTGCTTTCCCTTAAGGACCCAGGTTCGAGTAGTTGCGTCTATAGGGTGTGTACGTTGCCAATAAGCTAAGAAAAGTTTGACTAGATACTATCTTATAATCACCTCAGAATATTAAATAAATAATAATAAATGGAAACCTTATAAGAAATTGAATAAGATCATGTCACACACATCCAAATCTCACACCTAAGTTCAAGTAATACAGGTTGCATTTTTTACTTGTCTATGTTGATCAAATACTACATTTCTTGTTGATTGATACTCAGGTCTCAGATAGCTAACGTTTTGATTTCACTTTCCTACCTTAAACTCTGGTTTTTGTTGTTTATTATAGGCAGGTGCACTTGATAAACTAGAAGCATTTACAAGCTTCAATGGACCGGACTTCTACGGTCTCCCGAGAAACACCTTGAAAATTAAATTGATGAGGAATCCATGGAAGGTTCCAGAGTCTTTCTCGTTTCCTTTGGGAGACATCATTCCTATGTTCGCAGGTGAAACACTTCAGTGGCAACCATGCTTCCCTTGATTCTATCTTCTTTTCTCAGAGTTACATTGTGTAATTGAATTTATGTAGCTGATGTCCCCATTCCGCGTAGCGGGAAAAGACTGTTGTTTAAGAGCTAATAAGGCTTTGAGATCTATAAGTCCGAGCATGAACTTTGATTCACTCGGTTGCATGGTGATTGTTACAACATCGAAGAGGATGTGAGTTTCAATACGTCGAAGACAGACCCTTGTATGTTTGTTTCGGACGAAAGAGATGAACCATAAAATAAAATAAAAATGCCCAACAAAATAACAGTAGAAAAATAGTAGGATTTTGATTAAAAACAAGTGTTGATAGTGTGTATAAAATAATATGAAGCTTCTTAAATATAAGTTATTCTTCATATGAGTCACCTATAAACTCATCTGTTTCACAAAGTGACAATCTTTTCGTGTCCACCTTACACAAACTCTTAATTGTTGCCCACTCTCTTCTGCTCCCTCTATTATTTAACCCCACTTCCCATTTCTGTGTCATTCCCTTCCAAACTAGCTTTATTTATACTAAGGTATATCCCTTTATTTTTTATCCCATTCATGTCTTCCATCACTTCTTGATTCCTCAATTTGAATATGTAGTTTTATTATTTGCTTTTCGTCTCATATAAATTTGGTTCAGGATGCAAAGGGATACCACTAGCAATGGCACCGCGGCAGCTGCAACACGGGTGCACCCGGCGTGCGCCGCGTGCAAGCACCAACGGAAAAAATGTGACGAGAATTGCATCCTGGCTCCATATTTCCCGGCCGATAAGTGTCGGGAATTCCAAGCCGTGCACAAGGTCTTCGGAGTGAGCAACGCGACAAAGATCGTCCGTAATGCTAGTACCGATGAGGATAGGAAGAAGGTGGCGTATTCGTTGATATGGGAGGCGTTCTGTTGGCAAAAGGATCCAGTGTTGGGACCCTACGGAGATTATAGGAAGGTTTATGACGAGTTGAGCTTGTATAAGAAGCAGAGCCAGATGATGATTCTAAAAGACCATGATCATCATCAGCCCGGTCATCAGGTCTTCAAAATGGGTGCTGCTCACACCGTTGCACCGACTAAGAGAGGCGACACTACGTTACGATGCTATAATCCCGTAGACGCCAATTCCCTCTTTGGTTTCAGTGGATATCCGTATCCTCAATCGGACAAGGCAGTGCAAGAAAAAGGCATGCATAATACTACTATTGTTCCACTGCAATACTACGCTTCAGCAGGTGACGTCTTATAAGTCACTTATAGCGTATGAACATCAAATATAAATTCCGAATATTTAATTTTGTTGTTTATTCAGATGTAGGGTTTATGAATGGCAAGACATTGGAAAGTACAGGATGGGACAACATACTATAGATTTATTTTATTCCGACAGTACCGATGTTGTGTTGGAAACTTGTTCAACTTCTTGTTTTTCTTCCCTACAGTATTTTGATGTTTAGTATTCTTTTACAGCCCATGTTCACATTATAAATAACATTTAATCCGTCGACCCAAAATTTAATATGCACTCAATCTTAACATGTATATATATATATAAGGTTATTCGAAAAGAATTTAATTTTAAAATATAAAAAATAATATCACTATTTATAAACCATAATTATTATCTTTTCCATGAATCAGCGATTTTTTAATTTAAATTTGATTTTTTAAAAAATAAATATAAATTTAAACCTATCTTATTTTTTAAAAGAAATTAAATCCAAACTCAAATTTTCAAAAATTATAAGGTCAAAATAAATTTATTAAGAAAAAACTGAGAACAAACACATTGAAATATATAAGAAGAAAAACACATTGAAATATACATGACCAACGTACAACAAAAACTTGTTACGCAAGTTACAATCAAGGAATTGTAGATTCCTATTTATTCAGCAAACCAGCAAACAGACACAAACTGTGGCAATCATATATTATATTGGTTTTGGTTTCCACGTGGGAATGTGGTGGCGTCTGCCCCATGCTCGGTTGTCTGAGTTTGGGGTTGGTTGTCGTCGTCGTCGTCGGGTCCAATATTAACAAGGTTGGTCGTATTCTGGACAATCTCCACTATAGTTTCAGCAATGGCTCCCAACACACCTGATTGGGTTTCAACTCTTCTTCCAGCTGAACCCTCGAATTTTCTCTCCGTCGCACTGTCCTTTGTTCTCTCTACTCCCTCCATTTGCACTGGTCCTTTCTCTCTTTCACCATGGCGTCGCCTCTCGGTTTCCTAAAATAGACCAAAATGATCAACGTCAGTAGGAACCTTTTTGAATAATATTAAAATGGCTGGAGTTGTGGCTATTCAAACCTGTGTAAATTCACCAGATTTGTTACTCTCTGATGATCCCTGAAAGCTTTGCTTCAAGGCATCTCCGATTGGCTTTGCAGTCTCCTCGATTTTCTCTTTGGCTTTTCTCGGGAAATTTTCCACTTGTTGTCGGGTCTCACTCGGCCTTTCCTTGCTTGGCTTTGCAGTTTCCTCAATTTTCTCTTTGGTTTTTCTCGGGAAATCCTCGCCTTGTTCTGCGCTTTCTTCTTCTTCTTGGTAGCTAATGTATTCACCCTTGATTCAAGTTAATTTTTTTTTTTAATTGAGTCAAAAGATTCGATTTTGTAAAATGAATAAGGTGCAAAATTACCGGTGTTTCTTCTGTGGATCTCTTAGCTTCAAAATCTCTGGCTGCCTCCTCCTTTTTCCTGGCGGTATACTCAATATAGTCTCACCAGCAGCTGAAGCAGCATCCTTGGCTGCCCTTAATGATGTGGCCGCAAGTTCCTTCGATTTTTGGCCAGCACTCCGCCGCCCCCTCCACCATCCTCGCCGCCACCTTTGTTCCTTCCACAGCTTTCTCGGTGGTATAATGTGCCGCACTCCATCCGGCTACTACAGCTCTGTCCTTTACAACCACAGCCACTTTCCCCGCCAAGCCAGCCGCCTCCTTGCTTTTCTCTACCGTCACATCCTTGGCAACAACCGCCTTTTCTCCGGTATAACTCGCCACTGTTTTAGTAACATCAACTGCTGTGTCTTTCGCTTTCACCGCCGTTTGCAATGCGTAATCTTTCGCCCATTCCATTTTCAGTACCGTGTAGTCTTCCGTAGTCTTACCTGCACTCGATAGGGTTTCGGCCGCGGTGTCTTCGGTCTCGGTTCCTTTCTCCGCAATGTATTGTGAAGTCTTTTCTGCACCTTCGACGATCGTATCCTTCGCTTGTCCACCCATCTCCGTCGCATACTGAGCGCTTTGACGAGCGGTTTCCCTTGCTTGTTGACCCTTATCTTTGGTGTACTCGGCTGCGGTGTTAAGCGCTTGGGCGCCTGATTCCTTGGCCTTGTTATAACGTTTTTCGGCAGCCTGTAAAGTCTCCGTCGAATTCTGTTGAGCTGTTCCTCTTAGCTTCGATATCTCTTCTAGAGATAGCTGCTCTCGTTTCTCGTCACCCTCTTCTTTACCGATATTCCTTCGTTCGCCAGCCGTTTCCGTGCTATGCCTTCTTTCTTTACCGCTCTCGCATTTGCCCATAGACTCCATTGAAGCACCTGCACTCTGCTCGTGTTTGGCCTTGGACTCCATCGAAGCACCTCTCTCGTCTATTTCCAGCACTTGTCTCGTGTTTACGGCCCTGAGACTCCATTGAAGCACCTCTGATATCTTGTCCATGCCCACCACTAACTTCGAATTTCCCTATGGTGTAATTAGGCTCTCTCGTCCTCTCTTCAGCCTGTTTTTCTCTTCCGATTCCGACATCATCTCCCTCCGTTTGCGCCACAATCGTGGCGGAAACATTAATGTCACCAACTTTCCCTCCGAGTTCATGGCACTCCCTGTGAGGGATTTGTCTCGCAACGCCGGCATCTGACTGTTTCGATTTCTCAGCAAGGGAATCGAAATGAGTCGGTTTTCCTCAAAGTGAACCTCTCCTTTCCTGATTCAAAGCTTAATTGGACCAACCCACCTCGCACATCTTATTTTAGATATGTCATTCAATAAGAATTTTTTTATATATATAATAATTTAAATTCAGAATCTTACTTAAGTAACATCAAGTTATTTACCACTTTGACCAACTATGTTGGTTTGTTTAATTTATTTTTAATAACATGTTATAATCTTATTAAATTATATATTTTTAGTACACCAAAATCAAATCCTTTAAGATTTTATGTTATATTAATATTCATATTTAATTTATTAATAAGATAAAGTTATACACAATTAATATATCAAACATTAATGTTTAAACGATCAAAACAAAACCTACTGTAGTATTAAGTTATTGTTTAAACAAAACCTATTGTTATATGGGTTACATTATTTTATTTTGTTTATTTTTTCATATGCGAAAATAGTAAATGATTTTGTTTATTCTTTTAACTTGTTATTCTTTTCTTAAGGTTGAATTTACGTCTTCTACGTACTGTTTTATTCGATAAACATAACTCAGTATAAAAATCTGTCACTGTAATATTCATTCTAACAGGCAAATCAAAACACTCAGCGGTCAATAAATAAAAAAGGTCATGTTTATAGTATACTGAAAAAAGAAAAGGACAGAATTCTCTTGTTGAGTATGTCCCAAGTAATTGGTGTATTTAACCAAGTAAATTACCCGAGTAATGGTAAATTTAACAGCAACACCTAATTCCCATCATCAGAGTATCCAAACCCATAAAATACAAACAAACAAACAAACCAATTTGTGCATTCAACTACAAACATGGACAGTCTTATTGCAAAGCCTCTACCCCGCAGCTTGAAAATCCCCAAAATCATCATCCTCTACGTCTTCTGTGCTCTGACCTTCACCCTGGTGTTGTTCGTCTGTATGTTCCTCTGAGGATATCGGAGCCTTCTTTTCTGAAGTACCCTCTAATTGGAGTTTTGAGGGTGAGCTTGTCGGAGAATCCCCTGTTGTATCTACAGGTGAAAGTGGTGATGGTGGAGGCGGTCGGGATGATTTAGGAGTGCTACCTACAGGTGAAAGTGGTCCAGGTGGTGGTGGTGGTGGTAGCATGATGCTAAGCATGGGATCTTTCTGGTTACCTTTGTCTGCCAAAGACAGCTTGTCGATGCCAAGCTCCGAAGCTTTTGATTTCACAGTGGAACTGCCTCTCTGAGTCTGGGAGATCAGCATCAAAAAGGGAGACAGACCTTTTAGAAGTACTTGAATACGGAATGAAGTTATTGTGTAGTGTTAAAAGGATGAAGAAAGGCATACGTTCTTTAATTGAAGTACAATGGTCTCCCCCTCCTTTAAACTGTAATCAACCGAGGAAGTGCTCTGGAATTGCTGCTCCATCTCTTCCGCAGTTTTCTTTTTGTTCAAGTATCTTCAAGTCCGATTTAAAGAGTGCATTTTTTTAGTATAAGTATAGTACTCATTCGTATTCTTTGAAAAATCGGAGCAGTATGAACTTAGGAAATCACAATACAGGAAGCAAATTAAATAACATAAACTGCATAAAGATATATGAGAAGCCTACTTTATATGGTCATGCAGGGCTGCTTGGAAATCATAAGCCTCTGTTCTTTCTCGAAATCCAATGCCAATGAAAGCATGCCGTTGGCGACCACCTGCATGAGTTCTGAAGTAATAAATAACAAGCTTAAAAACTAAATACCAATGACAAACAAGCAAAGCACATCAATCATCATTGCTACAGATACTTGATCGTAAGGGAACTGCTATGTTTTGACATTTAACTCAAAGCAGATGTGGAAACTGATTTAATGACAGAGAACAACACATTGATTTAAAATTTAGAGTGCAACAGAAGTTAAAATGGCTTGGGGTAAATAAGTATCTTGAGACAGTTATACCCCCACAAAAGTTGAGCAAAAGAATGTCACAGAACATAATCCCAGAGAATCAAATGAAGTGACCATAGCTCAAAGAAGTCGAGAAAAGCTAGAATCACATGTAAGGTATATCTTTCTTTGGGATGCTGCATTATAAAAGATGGATTGTTTCTTTTTCTTACGTAAAACCAGACAATGTTTGATTTTCCTAGATGCTTGATGCAGAAAATAACTTCATACCACAGGGGATACTCCAAATGGGAAAGAAGACTTAAAAGCATAAGTGAAGCACCTTCTCTTGGCTACTGAATCAGCTAATAATAAGACCTTTCAACAGTTTAATTATTAATCAAAATGTCAAGATATTCTAGAAAGGTCAGTAATTTGGATAGACTCCCAAATCAGTAGATTTTGGGTTGCTTTTGTATGGAAAAGAAAACAAAGAAAGATAAAGTGAAATGTCGAGCCAATGAGTGTTCAAAATTTTATACAAGAGAGAAACCGACTTTTGGAATGAGAATGAAGAAGAATTGAATTGGGAAATTTTGTAGTCTGCAAATTATTTCTTAAGAGATGTGCTCACAATTCATCTATAAACATCCTTTCAGGTTGAAGAAATGGGGAGGAAAGGAATATTCACAACAGGGAAGTACGAGGAGTGGCAAGAATTTCATATAGTAATGCCATAAAACAATTGCAAGAATACATTGAAAGAAAACAGAAATTCTAAATTGAGTTATATTCAAAAGTGAATTTGAAAGAGTTGAAGGAAAAAATTACGCACCAATATTCTCCTCAATTCGAAGAACAAAATATCTGCAGAACACACACACTTGAGATAAAGGGTTGCGTCAAAATTAAAAGCAATATAGCACTGCAAACACATATAAAGCTTAGGATTACTTATGTGTACATACCTACTGCTATCAACTACAGATTCCACTGGATGTGGTTCTCCATTTCTCAGAAATGCTCGAGCATACAATTCACCTATGAAGAAGCGTGAGTTCTTGCAATAATCAATCATCTAATAACTAAAGATAAGCACAATAGACATATTGCCCTACAAAGCACAAAACTAAGTTTACCTGTATTCTTGTCTTCAAGCCTGATAATGCACTCTTCTCCCTTGTTAATGACTTTCAAAATTCCCTCCCATGCCCATTTATTGACATTCCATTCATCAGCCCTGAAATAAATTTCAGAAGAACAAGTATGTATTTCTCCATCAAAGAAAAAGAGAAACCACTTTAGCATACACCATAGAGTTGTTCGATCAGATCTTTTACGCACTCCCCACTCTTATCCAATAGCCTCTTGGCTATTAAAAACAATATTTTTCATGGTAAAAGAAATTAGTTTCTAACTTTGGGGAAATGTTATGCATAAAATATTTCACTATCTGTTTTATAGCATAATGAATTATTCCCTTCAGCAATTCATCCGATTTCATGCAAATTAACACCAAGACAGAAAAACAAACAAAAGGAAATGAACAAAGGTTCACCTAACCTGATGACAAACATAACAGAGACTTGTGGCCACACAAATAGAAAAAGCATGATAGATAAGGTTTTCAATATCATCATTGTGAACAGCCCACCATAAACACAACATAATACAAAAGATATGATCGGCGTGTTTTTATTTATTTATTATTAATATTCTTGCATGTTGGGTATCATATCCTGACAAGTTGGACAACTACCTGTACGAGCCTGCAGTTTTCCTTGGAGGTATCTGCAGAAGTAATGTGTTAAATCAGCAAGATAGCATAGCAGCGCAACAGGGAAAGAGAACATAAGCGAGAAAATATCACACAAGGTTGGATTTCACTAAGGTAGGACACCTAAGTAATTAGCATTTGCTGTCGTATTCTGATATGAAATTCTGAGGAAATGGGGAACATCGGATAAAGAAAAAAAAGTAAAGCAATCCCTAGACTTCAACCTAGGTTTCTTTAGATGTAATAACTAAGGTTGATGGCATCATACATGAAGAAAATATGCTAATCTGAATGTCAAAAGGCACAAGCCATATATGGTTGGAAAGTTAGTTAAGTCAAGTTCTGATGATTCAAGTTGTCTGGTAATTGGATCTTTTTAGGAAGAATTTAGGCTGTTTGACCTAAAGGTATTCCGAAATAGCATATATCAGTTACCTACGCATTGTTCACATTCTCTATTCCTAGAGTAAGTTGTACTTTACCATTTGATCAGACTTTCACTGTTAGTTGTTACGGTAAATTTATTTCAACAATTACCAATTCCTAGAGAATAATGGATTAGCTAAAATTGTTTTTGAGACGAAAATATCTTCCTTTAACTCTATATAGCTCTTGTTGGTTCTTTTAACTTTTCGGTTCTTTTAACTTTAACTGAAGTATAGTTCATTATCTCAAGGGTGGTAAAGAAAAATTAGATCCCTAAAGTGTAGGGCTTATTTATTTACTCCTAATGTTAGGACTTATCTTTTACAAGCTAGCATCAAGTTCAACTTCACACTCTTTATTCTACAAAAGTACCATTTCAGGAACAGGGATTCATGGAATCATGGCAGGCCCAGCTTTTTCAACCCGGAAAAACACGAACCTTATTGAATCAAACGCCCAAATGCTCGTGTCAAAGATCGTGGTATAATCAGTTTTGGTATATGATTTAAACTCAGTATCATAAACTCATGCAAGGTAAATTTATCAGCTTCAGACGGTTTTGTTTAAATCATAAAAAGTAACGAAGGAAAAAGATGAATAACTGTTAAACAAATAGATTGAGAAAATGAAAATACTGCAGAATAGAGAGTTGGAACCCTACCATACCATATTCCATAAAAAACATTTATAAATTACCATATCTATAACTATAACTATGACTGTGACTATTTCACTAGCGGTTTCTGGCACAAGTATAATTATAATCCATTTAGCACAACATTATGAATTTGAAAATAAAACCAAAGCAAACAATGGTATGATCCGCTTATCACTTTTAATATAAAAAATGTTCCAAACCTAAAATATCCAAAATCAAACTATCCATTTCAATTAAAATTGAGAACAGAAATCCAACATTATAGAAGCCCCACCATAATGTTTTAAGGGGACGGAACACGGAAGGATCACAACTACGTCGAATTCCATTCTTAAAATTAATTGATTACATTGCCCGTTGCAAAACAGAATTCCATTTTAAAAGTGTATAACCGGCGATCTAATCATTCAACCAGCCATACATATTGAATCTTAATCTTGATCGACTATCAAACTAAATACAAGTCAGCTAAAATTGAATGAATTCAGTGTGATCCAAGGGGGGGAAACCTCAACAATAGAAACAGTAGAGATTCGGAGTAGACAAGCATCAGATTGAGATTCGTAGTATATATAAAGAGTTAAGAATAAAGAGAGGGAAAGGGAGAGGGGAAACTGACCAAATAAACATAACATTCAGAAACTTGAAAGAGGACAATTTCTAAAGGTTCCTCATTCTCCTCAATCTCACCAACTTTGGCTTCCTCGTTGGGTGCGGTGGGCTCTTTTCCTTTCTCCATCATCGGCGATCTCACACTCAGTTTGGCTACCAACAACAGGCGTGCGAGCAGAAAACTTCACCCCTCAGTTTCGGACCTTATGGGTATATTCATAAATTTTGTCTCTCCCCGTTTTGGGTGAAAGTGCTTGCTAGATACGTCTTTTATATATGCTGTATCAATTTAGTCCCTCAACCATTAAATAGATTAATTTAATACATTTGTTATAAAAATTAATTTAAATTATCTCATATTATTAAATGGACCAATTTAATTACCAAATTTTACAAGTTTAACATTTTATTTTTAGAAAATAATATTGAAATTATTATTATTTATTTACAGTGCAACTCCAAACAAAAAAAAATCGTTTCTATATCCATAAAAAAGTTAAAATATCAATTTTGTTAAATAGTAATTGACATTTTAAAAATAATTTTATTTGATTTTTTACTAATACAATAATTTTGATACATTTAGTAATAAATAAGAGATTAATTTGTACCAATATCTATAACTAAGTGACTAATTTGAACCAATCTATAATTGAGGGATTAAGTTTGAAAAATAAGTGCTTAAACTGTAATTTTTTATTATTAGTTTAGATGTTTAAATTTTCTTATCAACTTGTTATAGGGTTTTTTTTTCCCGTTAACAGACATTATTTGAGAATGGAAATAGGATGAAATTTTAAATATCTAATTCGATAAAAAAATTCTAAGTAAAAGATAATTATAAAACTTTATATTATTTATATACTTGAATCCTTAATGAAATAAGTGAATTTAGTTATCGTTAATGTCACATTAATTATTGTTAATAACAATGATCAAAATAAAAGTATAATTGTTCTTATTCCTCGTTTAAAAAAAATCATAATAATTTTATTAAGAAAAAAATTTAAAACTATAATGAGGATTTATAATTAGATTCATAAATTAAATATATAATTAGACTATTATTCTATAATCATTAATACACAAATCTAGTCACTTAAGAATATATAAGTGTCATACAATGAAAATATGGAAAAATTCATCCAAAAACCTCAAACAATATGTAAATACAAATAGATCTGTCTGCTACGACAAACGAACCACAATAGGGAGTTTAATTGCTGAAAGATCATCATAAACACAAATCAGAACCAAACATAGTGATAAAACTATCTACGAACATGTATTACGTATTCAAATATAATTTGATGTTCCAAAATATGAAAGATTATCATGATAACAAATGAGCATCATCTTGATCGATGACGAAGTTAAATCTAACCTTGAAAAAAAAATGACGTGAACGGTAAAATGACCAAAGAAGAATATGAAAAAGTGCCAAAAGTCAGATAAATATGTCATAAAGATAGAGAAAATCGTGTCATAAAGACATAGTTAATTGAAAAAAAGAAAAATATGAAATAAAAAATAAATATATATAGACAATAATAATTAACACCAAAACTGATTTCATCACTTATGAACCAAAGATGAAAAAGGAAAGAAACAATCAATGATTTAGAATCATAAAAATTTTGTGACTTCAAAAAGAAATAGAGTTTAATGGTCAAAGTTTTAGGTATGCGGTGATTGGGCTTGATAGGTTTAGATATGGACTTATAGTGCACTAATGAATCTATTAACTTATTAATTATAAATATTTATAAATAATTATATTAAAATTTAAATATTAAATAAAATTTTGACACTCTCTCATAATGTATTAATATTAAGTATACACAATTTTGAATGTATTTTGATTTTATTTACGTGTGATTATTGATCGAATAAATTTAATGGAGTGAATTGATTTTTTTAATAGTTTGGAGTAATTATAAGATTACATTTATTTAAAAAAAAAATCTTAATTATTGATAGTATGCACATTTTACAAACAGACTGCTTGAATCTGAGTAAAGTGAATTGATATTTTTTTTCTAACTTTTGACATGGGCAAATGTATTAATTGGTAGGTGAGTTGCAGGCAGATGTTCACAACTAAAAATTGAGATCTTGTAATCTAGGAGTTAGCTATGCTTGGAAAATTTCACCCGTCACCATTACAATTGGAATCCATATAGTCATATGGTTATATTAATATTTAGTAGAGAAATACAAAGAAAGAGATGTGGGTCATTTGACCAACCATTCTTCGCGAAACTCAAGCTTAACGATCGGTCATGGGCTTGAATGGTTAGGAAAAATGCCATATCCTCCTTTCTTCTCCTTCTTCATCTGCCTTTCAACTTCTACTGTATTAATTGTTTCCCTGTAAAGTTTCTCTGTATGCCGTGAACCTTAAGTTTGCTTTTTTATTCTTTAACGAACATGCAGAGCAATTCATGGACGGAAAACCAGGCTAAGTTGATCATTTGATATCGAAAAACTATAAAAAAAAAAAAAAGGCACAGGGAAAGAGATTCTTCTTCGACAAATCGTTACGGAAAATGGAAGATTATTCGAAAGTAGAAGCAGAAGCACATGAAACGCCTGGTACTGAAGATTCCAGTTCAAGTGATAGTGACAAAGAGGAGAAAGTGGTTTCTGAGTCGGCTCGAGAGACCGAACCGGGAGACTCTGATGCTGCAGAGTTAGATGCTACCGAGTCCGAAACCACTGGAGACTCTGAAGTAGTCTTAACCAATGTAGAACCAAAGGAAACAACGGTACCGCCGGCCGATGGCTCCACGGTCGATGGAGTGCTTGTTGCTTCTGACAACAATGCTGGGAATTCGTCAGGTTTCCCAGAATCGGCATTGGAGCAAAATGTCGAAGATTCCTCGCTAGCAGAAACCGTTCCTATAGTCGAGACCAGAGATGGTGGTGGTGAAGTTGCAGCAGACAAGCCTGACATTGACGAAACCATGGAAACTCAGGTCAATAACATAAAACCCAGTTTTTATTTCCATCATTTTCTACAATTTATGTTAAACCTAAACTAAAATCTGGGTTTGATTCCTTGACAGCCTATTCCTTCCATGCGTCACCGTCTGGTGCAAGTGATTTCTTGGAGAAGCTGCTGTGGACTTTTCGAAGTTCTTCGGCGCTCCGATAGATGAAATCCAAGCACTCTCCGGCAAGTCATGCTAAATTCTTTGGTTTGCAGTCTCGGAAAATAGCTAACGCAGAATCTCAAGTTCATGGTGGAGTTCATATGTTGTTTTGTTTTTTCTTCTAGCATTTTTCTGCAAAATAGTTGTTGAGAACTGAAAAAGTTCATTGGGGGAACGTATCAGGGCTTGAATGTTGGGATCTGCCATGTGTGGAGTGTTTTCATCAGTCGCCTTTGTAGCTCTAAACCTTCTGTATTGTGTACGATAAGTGCATACTGATGATTTATGTTATTCATACTGTGATTTCAGTTCTAAAACTCTATCTGATCTATTAATCGATTAATTTAAATTAAATTTTGCAAATGTCTATTAAGAATATGATCGTCTCAACCCAATTTATTTCATGAATTTTATATTTTATACATGCTACTATAGATTTGTTGAAGTATTAGATAAAAATATGAAATTTGGAAAATAATTGAACAAGAAAAAGTTTAAAATTTGACATCTAAGGACTCACTCTTATAATATAATACTATATTTTATTTATTTTCATATGCTACATAATTTATATCGCATAAAAATTAGGTTTATATAATTATAATGTGCACGTTAAAAAATATGTTAAATTATACATGCATAAAAGAGAAAAAAATTAATCCTCATTGTATAACTCTAAATGTACTTAATTAATCAATGAAAACTTAATGAAGTTTTCATCTGTTAATAGATTTATTGAGACAAAATATTAGATCATTTATGTAAGTTTAGCAGTTGAAATATTAATTTATGAAAAAATTAATGAATTTCCTTTGAAGTGGTCTTATCTTCATTCTTCAATCATCCCATTAACATATCTCTGCATTTTCTAATCACACAAAAGGAAATGGCAAAGGGGGAATAAAACCAATTACAGTTGATGAGAAACAACCGGTCTGCTTTAATCGATCAACCTCCAAGCTTTCTTTTCTCCTTATCCGCGCCTTCAATGAAGCTAGTAAGAGCTTTCATAGCCCTAATCTGGCACTGCAAAGCCAATATGTACCCAGCAGTTTCTTCGAACAGCTTGTCCACACCCAAATCCTCGCCTCCCGGAACTATCCTTTGCAATGCCACGATCTTTCTCTTCACTTCGACCTTCTCGTCGTCGTCTTCATCGGCAACACCGTCATCATTTTGCGTTTCGCTCGAAGAATCCTTGTTCGAGTACTCTCTCCTTTTCCTGGTGGTGCCCGGCCGGGTGGTTCTTCGGAAAGTGGGTAAAACTTCTTCATGCAATGCGTTTCTTTTCAATGGGGTTTGTTTGGTGTAAAATGTGGGTATTTTTGTCTGGTTCATGGCATTGATCTCCATTGATCAAAGAGGAGAAAACGGAAAGGAAAGTGAAGGGAATGGAGTGAGTGCATGAGAGTATGAGAGGAGATGAGAGGGACATGAGGGGGCGTTATATTATATTTAAAAGCTCTCTCCGAGTCAGATTTGTCAATGCCAACGATGGTGGTAGGTCCGGGACATTTGGTTTAATTACGATTCCTGTGCTTGTAGTGTTTAGATTTTGAATTTAGTCTATCTGCTTTTACTATTTCTACTTGAATAATTTGAACCTACTAATGGATTTTTGTTGAATATGAATATATTGGATTTAATATTCAAATATCTGATTTAATTTTTTTTAATTTTTAACAAATATTTATATTTAACAATGTTATCAATTTGATTTTGCCAATGCTTGTTGGATAGAATGATATTAATCTCGATTAGGGATGGTAAAATACTTATATTTAACGAATAATGTCGGATATGATTTGGTCAGTTCAAAAATATACTTTGATTCGATCCTTTATCATCTTTAATCTCTACGTCTTTAAAGAAAGTCTTAAATTCGAGTATTATAGATAAAAAGTATGGCATTGAAAGCCTAATTAGGATCCCGATAAACTCAAGTTCAGATATAGTTTAAGCACATGTGACAGTCACATGTATTAAAAAAGAACTTTAATTTCTAAATAAGACAAATTGAGGATTAAGTTCCTACAATTAAAAATAGAAGGGGTAAATTTCAAAAGACCAAAGGGTATAAGGACCGGGGAAGAATCCAACGAAGGTAGTAGGCCCCACGGGGGTTTTGGGGTTTCCCCAGTCGTACGGCGTTTAGGATATGAGTTGGGACGGTAAGAAACACGCCCGATACAAAAGCGGGTGAGGAGACTTGTCGTGTAGTGCTTGCATGTGCCATGGTAAAGGGGTTAAGGGCAGGCAAAATGTACAACAGGGCACATGCAGCGGGTGCAAAGCTGTCTGGGGAACAAATTTACGTAAATCCCCAGACACAGTTTGGGCGAGTGAGTGGAGATCGAAACGGATCATCTGGGATCACCTGCGGATAGGTCCAGAGAAAGAGAGGGGACCCACGGAAAGCCCATGTGATCACGTGGTTTTCTTGAACCAAACACCGCCATGTGCCTCTCCCCAACCCCCTCTCTCCTATGATCAATATCACTACCCCATTAACGACACGTGGCTATTTTCAATTAGACCCACCCCTAGACCCCTTGAAAAAATCTACTCGAAATCTCCTCTTCTTTAAATTTTTTATTCTTTTGGATGTTTATGACCCTTTCAGAATTTTTATGAGTTAATTACATCATACATCCTCAAACTATAACTCTCATTTTAATTTGGTTCCTTAACTTTTATATATTCCAATTCCATCCTGAAATTATGATTCATATTTTAAATTGATCACAAACTTTTGAATATTCCAAATTTATCCCTAAAATATGACCCTAATTAGTCCCTACACTTTTCAACGTGCCAATAACATCCCCGAAATCATTCAAAAGTTAGAGGATGAAATTAGAATATTTAAAAGTTTAGGGATCAACATAGAATGAAGGTCATAGTTTGAGCATGAATTTAAAATATTTAAAATTTTTGGGACCAATTTAAAATGAGAGTTATAGTTTAAAGATGAAATTAGAACATTTAAAACTTTGGGGACTAATTTAAACTAGATATCATAGTTTGGAGACGTATATTATAATTAGCTTTAATTTTATTTGTGGATTTTTCTTTAAAATTAATTTTATGAGAATTAGACTTATTAAGAATTAAAAAAAAACAAAGAAAGAAGGATACTTAATAATTATTTAGGGAATTAGGTTAAATTAAATAATTTAATGTAAATTAGCCTTTTATATGGATATGATTATTTAAATTATCATGTGTTAGATTAAAGTTAGGAATGTATTTTATGTTTTTTTTTTGAAACACGAAAGCATAACTAATTAAATAAAAACGTGTAATCTTCCTGCAGAAAAGACAACACTTGATTGATTCATATTTTTTCTTTCATTATAATTTTATATAAAAAATGTTAATATTATTATTTAAGATAATATCTATTTAGAATTTTCGTAATTTATTAATAATGTACACATATTATATAGACCTCGTTTTTTGAATTTAATACTTCTAAAGAGATTAATATTTTTTTACCATTAAAACCACTTAATGAATTAATACTTAAACTGATGTTATTAATCAAATTTAAAACCGATTGACAATCACAAATTAAAATTAATGCCTATAAAGCACAATCAAATTAGGAATTATATATATATTCCAAATCACTATAATAATTCTAAAAAATAATTACATTTTAAGCTTTAACACATGCACAAAGTAGGAATTGAACATGAGATCTCAATAATTTCAACGATACCTCCAATTTTTTTTATTTTTTTAAAAAAATTACATATAATTACATAAGTTATTATAAAAAATTATTAAATTTTATCAAAATATTATAAAGTAATTATTAAATTTATCTAATTTTTATACATATTATAATGTCGCAATTATTATTTTATAACATATTAATAAATTCAATGATCATTTCATAACTTTTAAAAATTAAATAGTAAAAAATAATCATTTAAATATAATTCAGTGACTTTTAATATACTTTACCCTTTAAATATAGAACCCTAAATTGTTTAAGTGGAAAAGAATGGGGGAGGGTGGGTGATGTTTCCGAACGCCAAACCAGTGGGTAGTTGAGGGCATTGGGATTGAGAGAGTGTTGGGCATATGGGTCTGATATCCATGTGACCGTATGCATATATTACGTCAAAACTAACTACTTTTTACCCATCTCTTTTTAAATTAATTTCTAAAATTTTAAATATTTTAATTTTATCATTAAGTTATAATTTAAAATTAATTCTTAAACATTTGAATATTATTATACCTCCCCAAACTATTAATATATATTAATTATGTTTCTTGTTAACAAAATTATTATAAAATATTAATTACTATGTAAATATTGATGTGCATTATATAATAATATAATGTGACATAAACGATGTTAATACCGTATCGTGCATTAAAATCATTATTTAGAATAAAGTGGAAAGATTTTTTTTTTTTGAATAAAAGAGAGGCCGTAACCAGTAACATCAAATCCTTGCTCTATAGGTAGGGGGACCAAGAACGTCTCTCAAAAGAATATCAATGAGACCCGTGGGGGGTGAAACAAAAGTCTTGAGACCTCCATCATGTTGGGCAGATGCGTTAGCTTCGCGAAGAACAAGAAGGAATTCGACGAACCAAGCCTTATTATAAAGAGAAGCAATTAGGCGTAGGCCTGTAAACGAACCGAACGCACATGAACGGATGTATGTTCATGTTCGTTCATTTAATAAATAAGTGAACATAAACGAACACGAACATAAACGAACAAATTTTTTTTTGTTCATGTTCGTTCATTAAGGAATATAGATTGTTCATGTTCGTTCATTTAATAAATAAACGAACATAAACGAACACAAACATAAACGAATACGAACATAAATGAACACGAACATAAACGAACATAAACGTTGGAGACCCTACCTTCCATTGTTCTTTCATGAAAAATAGTCGACAATGCAAATCAACCAAATCTACAGTGACAATAGCCTAAGAGCTGATTAGCAGTGATGAAATGTTTGAAGAAATCAGATATTTCAATCAATCTTTTAAAGATATTAAATGATTCACACGACTTTAGAGTTAATTTGTTCGAACACGACAAAAACATACATAAATCATAAGTAAGCTATATGAATATAATAAAGTCTTAAAGTTAATTTGTTCAACAAAACAATCTTCTTGAAATCCAAACAACTTCAATAATATTCGTAACATATTCAACTTGCATTCATGATCAGTCGTTAATTCATCATCCATCCTGATCAAAATCAAACAAATAAAATTATATTAAATTAAAAGAGTTATAACAAAAGATGAAAAATATACTAAATTAGCGAGGTTATACTAATTCATTCATCCTCATTTTCAAGGAATCTCAACATGTATGATATCTTCGCTTTGCTACAACAAATCAAAAAACCAAAAATATATTAGTCATTGTAAAACCAAATTCAATAAAACTTAAAACATAAAAATACCTTGTTTTTATTTTTCTCCAACCCATAGTATTGACTATACCAATCAGCTCCACAAACAATCATATCAACCATCTTAGTTCCTAAAGAGGATCGATGCGGATCAATAACCCTCCCACCAGCACTGAAAGCAGATTCAGAAGCAACAGTAGTGACCGGAATTGTCAATATGTCAGCAGCTATTTTTGACAAAATGTTAAATTTAATATTGTTCTCCTTCCACCATCCCAGTCCACAGTCTTCATCTTTCCCAAGCCCCGAACCTTCCTACCATACGAGTCCCTCATCTTCCTTATGCCCGAGTCTGACTCGTTTCAATTCAAATACCTCGACTCACCTCTTTCCATTCCTTCGCAACATTACAGCCATATCCAGTAGCGCTCCACTGACCTCGCCACTTTCTTCCCCCACTAGAGGATATAAGCGCAAATTTGACTAGGACTCCCTAAGGGCAACTCTAACGTGGATGACTGGGCAATGAGGGGTAGACTGGAGAAGACCGACTGGTCGAATGCACCGTTCATAGCGGCGTACAAGGGGTTCCACATCGTTTAAGATGCCAAAAAAAATCCCTAAATTCACACCCCAAAATTAACAGACAAAAAAAATTTCAAATTATTTACCTTATGAAATCATGTTCAAGAAGGAAAAGAGATGAAGCTCTGTCGAATCGTTGCAGTTGAAGACTTGAAGCTCCGTCGAATCGTTGCATAAATGAAAATTGTGGAGGGTGGGGAGAGTTGAGAATCAAGAACAGCTGAATGACGGGTTGGAGAAGAGTTGAGAAAATATTGTTTTTAGATTTAGGGTTTTTTGTATTACCGCTTAATCAGGCTGTAAATTTGGGTTAATTATGAAGTTGGTCATCAAAATATCATATTAATTAATATTTTTAGGATACATACAAATTGGTCACCAAAATTGATTTAAGAATATTAGGTTAAACATAAATGAACGCACAT